GGTAGCTTAGAGGGCCCAGCAGTCTGAGGGGTGGGAGGACCCCGAAGTCTTACACCGTGCTGGGGGGCAGGGGGTGCGGTTCCTGAGCTCTTGCACACACAGCCCCTCGTCGGTGAACTCTGTCCCATCAGCTCCAGCAGGTGGGGAATATTGCTTCTTTCTAACAGAACAGTTTTAGTAGGAAAGCCTCGTTGGTCATTGGCCTCCTGGTGCAGTGGTTTTGTTGTGAGTTCTGTATTCCTCATCCCTCTGCAGCGCTGCCTGTGGTCTGGAGCCCCTGAAGGGAAAGTGGAGGAGGAAGGAAATGAGAGAGTTCTGGGGCCTTGCTGTGTCGGGGCGGTGGGAGGTGCATGGGCCAGTTCTCCCCCAGCCCAGGCCTCCCTGGTGTCAGGAGACCCCTGCCCACCCTGCCTTACCCCTGGCCTCGCATAGCCCCCAGCCTAGGCCCAGGGACTTTCCAGAAGATGAGGGCAGTTCCACTGGCTCTAGACTTTGGAAAGCCTTAGGCTGGTGCGTGGGCTCCCGAAGTCCATGCCAACCTTGACGAGGAAGTGGAAAGGAAACTTTCTGTCAGCCTGTCATAGATTCAGATCAGAATGATAGCGAGGCACTGCTGGTTTAGCTTGGCCCCAGAGTCAATGGTCTGAAAGACTCACCCTGTGGAGGATACAGCTGGGTTCAGCCCCTTCCATCTTATCCACCAGGCCATACCCCCCCACACCCCACCAAATATGTCATCACCAGCCCCCAGGGCTCCGTCTCCTGGTCCCAGAGTGGGGCCTTTGCAATGGGCCCCCTTCTCACTGCCCATCACAGGGTCTTCTCTTCTAAAACCCGAAGTCCAGCAGCCTCGCTACAGCCTCCTGACTTAGCCCTGAGGGCTTGGCCGTGGCCAGGTGGGGCCCCACCTAGGCTGGGCTCCCTCAGCAGGGCCCTCTTCCTATGAGAGCCTGGGGGAGCTCTGGTTGAGGGTAGGGGGGCCATCGGCCAGGCATGGGGTGGGATCCACAAGGATTTGTGCCCCTTCTCCCAACAGGAAAGTAGGACCCGTCGTGACTCTGAGGCGGCCCCAGCTCCCAGATGGAGGTGGTGATGTGTAGGCTGCTTCTCAGCCCGAAGAGCCGCCTCATTCCCAGGCTAGTTGGACAGGTTGAGGCTGACACACCTGGGAGAATCCAGCATGCAGAAATGTGGGCCTCCCTCACTGGGCGTGTCAGCACCCCAGGATGGGTGTCGGGAGGGAGCCTTCCTGTGGAGCAGCCTCAGAGGTGGCCCCACTGGGGGCTCCTCCCTGCAGCCCCAGGGTCCCCAAGCAGGAGGCTCCAGGGACCAGAAGGCTCCAGCAGCCTCCAGCTGATTCCCGGCTTCCCAGCTGGAAAGACTATGACAGAATCCCAGGAATGTGCCTTGAGCTCAGAAAGAAAATTCTCAAAATAACTTCTATAAATACTTGAGGAGAGGGGTGGGGAGGGAGCACTCAGCATGACCAGCAGCTGGCCCAGCACTGGGGACTATTTCCCAGAGCAGGCCTCCACCAAAAAGGAGGAGAAGGCAGACAGGGACCTTCGTGCTGCCCTCCCCCCTGGGGGACAGTGTCAGGCACTGGGTGAGATGCTGTGCGGTGGCAGCTTGGAAAAATAAGGCAGGATCCGATTTCTTCTGCATCCCCACCCCAGGCTACCGTCCCTGACCCCACCCTGGACCTCCACAGAGAACCTGGGCTCCTAACAGAGAGGGCCCCCCTCAGAGGGCCCCTCAGGCTGCCTGTCCAGTGGCACTGAGCAGGCTGCTAGGCACCCACAGGTGCCTCTGGCGTACCCGGCTTTGAGCCCAGGACCTTCCCACATGAGCTCTGTTGAGCTGCTATCATGCGGGTCATGGCCAGGCAGGTAGGAGCCAGGGACCCGTCCCCCTCAGCCTAGACAGGAGGACAGGGGTCAAATTTGACAGCCCGCAGTAATGGAGAATAATGTCAAGGTGGTGACATGGGCAAGGGGTCCTGCCGTCCTCAGGGAAGGCTTACAGGGAGCCGGGTCCCAGGTCGATGAGATATGGCCAGATGTTTCCTCCTCCTTGAGAACCAAGAAGGGAGGGAGGGAGGAGGGAGGAATGGAGGAAGTCGGGAATGTCTGGGACTTCCCCACGGCCCTGCCCCTCCCTGAGCGGCTGCCACCAACCCTGGCCCCTCTTACAGGGGCTGTGCTCCGTCGCCAAGAGCAACTTGCACCTCACTTTCTGATCCCTGTGCCGGGGCAGCACAGCTGTGACCTCTTTTGGGTGAAGGTCACCAGCAGGTCTGGTTGCTCTGGGTTCAGGATGCCCCCTGGCCGGGGTGGGGGGAGTCCGCAGGGACGTTTGAATGGAGGCCTGTGGGGGCAGGGGTGCCAGGGGAGTGGCAGTGCGGACCGGGGCGGAGCAGGTGAGACCTGCAGTCCCCTGGGCTGGGCCCTGTCCGGTTGTCAAGCAGCAAACACTCCGAGTTGCTACCAAACACGAACAGGCTGGTGTCTTGGGCAGGTGGCCGCAGATCCTGTTACAAGCCCCAGGCCTCTGGGCCCCAGCCTGACCCCAGCCCGGTGTCTCCTTTCAGGCTCTCAGGTCAGCACCCCAGGGTGGTGGGGATGTGAACCGAGCCCAGCCTAGCCCATAGTCGGCCCCGACAGAGAGCTCTGCCCTCTAGAAAACTCAGCTGTTCCACACCTTCATCCCCTCCAGGACCTCTGGTCATCTTGGGGACACTTCCATTTGCTCTCTGCCCACCATGTGCCCCCACTACGCGATTTCAAATTGGTCAGTAGCTTATGAGGGAGGACCCTTCTGTTCCCCAGCTTGCAGATGAGGAAACCGTGGCTCAGAGACAATGGGCCGCTTGCCCGGAGTCGCTGCACTAGTCAGCGGCAGCGCCGGGGTTCTGGTGGCTGTGCAGCCCTGGGCCTGTCCGCTGCACAGAGCTCGCAAAGGCGCCTGCCACAGACCCTCCGAACTGAGACCAGCATGCGCACCCATGTGCACTCCCGGGTCAGCCTTCGGGCACATCTGGACGCTTCCCAAACACCCACACGCTTCCTGAGAATCGGGGGTTTTCAAACTCATTTTTAGATCGAGCCCTCTTTTCCAATGAAATCTCATGTGGAAGCTCAATATAGCAATTTTCATGTGTAGAAGCCCCTGCGGCCCCGCCCCCTCTCTGGGAGGTCCTGCTGGCTGGCCCTTCCCTATCTGTCCTCTGTCGCTCCCCCATGGGCAGCACTTACAGGGCTCAAACCTTCCATTTTTGGTGCTTAATTTTGGTGTCTGGCAGCCTGTTGTCTCGCCTTCCTTCCCTCCTCCCTGTGGGCCCTGTTCCATCGTGAGCTGCTCAGGGTCCAGCTCCCAGGCCCTGCGGGCAGAACGGCTTGGCCTGGAGCCCTGTTGACCAGACTGGGCACAGCCCCCTGGTCTTAGGCAGCCCTGAGTCAGCACCACTCCCATCTGGCGAGAGCCGGAGCTGGGGGCCTGCCTGAGGCTCCGCCTGGCTGCAGCTCCCCATCCTCCCCTGTCCTCTGCCTCATCCTCGTGGTTCCCTGGGGATGGCTTCACCCTGGGTTGAAGAGACATCTCCTCCTTCCTCTCCTGCCCCCTGGCCCCAGTACTGCCAGCCAGCACCTCCAGAGAGGAAGAGGCTTTTCCTAGGGCTTCTTGGGCGCCAGCCTTCCCTCTTTCCTAATTGGTCATGTTCCAGGCTCTTTATGAAATCAGGCATGTGCATCTTCCTCAGTTGGTCTCCATAGCAACAGAGGGCCTAACTCTGGGGAGCGTGGTGAGGATGAAAATGTTCCAGCTAAAAATGTACATGGCCGCCAGTGGGCGGGCACCCGGGAGGGGGCTCCCAGCACACAGAAGGCAGCTCCCCACCCCCACCCTGGCCCCCGCCTATCCAGGAAGTCAGCGTTGTTTGCACCTTACCTCATGTCTTTGTGCTTTACCCCGTCTCTTGGAATGAGAGGAGGCCCCCAGTGCTGCCATCCCAGGCCACCTTTGAGGGCTGGGACACAGACCAGTGAGACAGTGTGGTGCAAAGCAGCCTTTCTGGGAACGAGGGCGGAAAGGAGATGCCAGCCCCTGCCCCTGCTCACCCAGTGTATGTAGAAGTGGACCCAGAGGGGCAGGGTGCCAGTTGAATTCCCAACCCCTTTTTGTAGCAATTCCTGTCACTTCCTGTATCTCTCTGGCAGCGGGGTTGTTGGAGCCGAAAATGTAAGGCCCAGTCCCTGACGACCCTGACCCACCCTCCCAAAGCCATCCTTTCACACAGCCTCTGTCCCCGGTCCCCAGCCCCCTCACTGTCCTGTGACCCTCACTTGCCAGGCCGGGCTGGGGTGAGCATTCGTTCCCGGGACCCAGATGTCCCTAGGAAGACCGGGGATGCAGGCAAAGGAGCTGCCCCACCCACCCACAGGTTGAAGGTTCTCCCCAAGGTGATGGAAGCTGGAGCCTGCAGCACACATCCCTCGGTCCCTGGGGAGAAGGGCAGCAGCAGGCCCGGGGGTAACAGGCCCATCAACAGACTCACACAGGCAGAACTCTGTTGAAGTATTAAAGTATTTACATAAACGGACTCGTGTAAACTTCACAATAGCCCTTGAGGTGGCTACTGTGGTCTTTCGCTTTTATAGGTGAGGAAACAGAGGGCCAGAGAGTGGTGGCTTGCCCAGGGTCCCCCAGCTGGTAGTGGGGAGACTCAAAGCCAGGGCTGCTGAAAGCCCATCCCTTGGGGCCGGGCAGGACACAGCTCCCATGGTGTGTGATTTGGGAGGCTGGCCTGGAAGCAGGTCAGGGGTGGGACAGGTGAGATTCACATTGATCAAGGGCACAGTCACTTGACCGAATCCAAACGAGACACTGCATCTGGGGCCCTCCCCGGCTGGTGGCCAAGCTGCTTCCCACTCGTTGCCCCGATGGCCAGGGTGTCCTTACCCCAGGACACCCTCACTAACCCCTCACCCTGTGCTTGCTCCCAGGGCATGATGCTGAGTCGGCTGGACCACAAGTGCCTGGCCCAGAAGGTGCTGCGGGACGCTGTGGAGAGGCAGAGCACCTGCCACGAGGCATGGCAGGGCCTGGGCGAGGTGCTGCAGGCCCAGGGCCAGAGCGAGGCCGCTGTGGAGTGCTTCCTCACCGCCCTCGAGCTGGAAGCCAGCAGCCCGGTGCTGCCCTTCTCCATCATCCCCAGAGAGCTCTGACTCTGCCCTGCAGCAGCAGGAGGAAGGGGACTGCCCGGCGGGCGGAGCAGGCCGACGGCAGGGAACATGGGTTCAGGGAGGCATGGGACCTCAGGGAAATACATCTCTAGGGAACACTTCTGCAAGCTGCAGCCCTAGTTCCCCTCGCCTCCCCCACCCCACCCCTGCATTCCCTCCAGGGCCCAGTGAGTCTGTAAGAGAGGCTCGTCTGGAGCTGGGTGGACCAGATTTGCATCAAAAGCAAATTCCTTGCTCCTCGGGAGTCAGACATTGTGACATTTACGAGCAAGGAAGTGGCCGGGAGGCCACCTCAACATGGGGCCCCTCCCCGGAGTATCTGTGCATCCTCGAAATATGCAGTAAGGTCTGTGGGCTTGGTCACTTCCCCCTCTAGAAACCCATGTACACACCTGCCACCCTCTCTCGGCATCCCTGACCCCGATTTCCCGCTTTGCACAAGCTTTAGTCTCGAACCTCAGCCCTCTGCCCTCCAGCACCAGCGATGAACCCTGCAGCTACCCTGAGGCCGGGCCAGCAGGGGTTCCTGTGTTCTTCCTTGGCTCCTCGGGAGATGGTCTGCTTGAACCCTCAGTGTCATAGAGTCGTGGTGACAGGACCTACTCCCTGGAGCCTTACAGCTGTGCCTTCCCCCCACCTGTGCCTCTGTGCCTTGGGGGAGCCCCACGTCACGGTCCCATGCCACAGTCTCAGGACAAGGTTTCAGATCACTCTCAGGTCTTGCCCAGGTCAGTCATGGTTTGAAGAACCCACTGGCAAGTGGAAAGAAGATGGATTCCTCTCCCAGACTTCGACTTAGTGGGTAATGCCTGGTGTTGCCCTTTGCCCAGTGAGGCCAGTTGGGACTCACTGTGTACCCTCTGCTGCCAAGCGCCTTTGAGGCCCGTGGTGTCTGGCCAGGGACACTGAGCACCGGCCCTAACCAACCTGCCATTCCTGCCCACCGCCACCTTCCTGGAAATGCCCCAGCTCAAGCAGCCAGCTCAGACCCTGGGCCGTAGCCCCAGGATGGGCCTCAGGGTGTGAGCATGGCAGCTGCAGCCGGCCCTTTCTAATGCGTTACAGCAACACATTGCTCCTGGAAGCCTTCCCTTTCAGGGCCGTGAGTACAGGGCAGATCACTGTAGGGGTGATGACGAGGAGGCTCCAGGACTGCCCCAGATTCATCACACCACTTGCAGTCCACTTCGCCTCGGGCTTTGTTGGTTAACCCAAGCCCCACCCTGGCTGTTTGGTTCTGCCTGGCTGGCACCTAACTACTTGAGCTGGCCTCTGTATACTTGACACCTTTGTCAGCAGGGGCCCTGGGTGCTGGCGGTGGGGTCTTTCCTGCTGCTCCCCTAGCCTGCTGCTTGATGCTCTGGGAATTCTCCCCAAGGAATCCCCCTGCCCCCTCCACCACCACAGGCTGATTAGGGGAATCCCTTTTTCACCTGCACTTTGGGTTTTAGTTTTAAAGCTCCATCAGGTACATCTCTCATTTCAAGGTGTGTGGAAAGGTGGAGCGGGGACTGCCCGGGTTTGTCACAGCCCAGGCTGTCTGTGGGAAACCCCACTCCTCACCACCTGGGCTCAGCACTGCACCCCCAGGGGCTTCCTGGGGAAAGCCCCGTGCCCCCTGGCCTCCCGCCAGGTGAGCAACACTGCGGAGAAACCACATCCTTCGCCTCCAGTTTGAAGGATCTGTGTATGTGCCAGACCCACACAGGGTCTGGCAGAAGTAATGCCTGCTTGAGTGTGGTTCGTCAGGTAATATTATATGGGTACAATAATTTATAGTTTTAATTTGAACATCTCACCTAAAATGCCATATGGTGTGCTTGAGTATGATATTGTTATGTTACAGAATTACATGCTCATGATTTTGTAATAAAAGATTTTTAATAAAAAGGGGGCATTATTTGTGCCGGGCCCTGTATATGATAGAGCTCTATTTTTATCCTGGAATTCTGTTAGGGGACAAAGAATTAAGACAAAGCAGAAGCCATTGATTTTGCCTTGGGGGACCCAAAGATGTTGGTGGTCAGTTCTCAGAAAGGAAAGGCACCAAATGTACCCTCAGAGGAGGCCTCGGCGGTCTAGGCCAAGTTGCTGCCAGTTTGCAGGTTGAGTAAAGAGGCCCCTGAAGGGGAAGCAGGTTTGTCTGAAGCAGTGTGTTCATTCAGCTCACAGGTGGCTCCGGAACCTGCCTGGAGCGGGCCCTGGAGAGGCTGGGGTATTACAGAAGGGGAGGGGCCCACGGAGTCCTGAAGGCCAGGGCCTGGGCCTCGCAGGTCAGGGGTGGGGGGTTGGAGGAGCAAGGGGGACAGGGTTGGAGGAGCAAGGCGGGAGGGAGGGCCCCGATGACAGGACTGTCGTTTTAGCCCCGTGAGAGGGGATGAGTACTGGGGGGCAGGGGTAGGGCGTTCGGGAGGGCTTCGGGGTCAGGCTGGAGCCTGGAGATGGGTGGGAGGAGGGAGAGGGGGTCTAGGCATGCCCAGCTAGTATAGATCCCATTTCAGACTGCTACCTGTCCTTTAGGTGGCCCTGAGCCCTCTGCTGCCTCCAGGGCCCAACTGCAGAGTCAGGGCCAGACTTGCCGCCTGAACAGAGAGATTGTTCCCGGGGCACTGCCTGTGGCCTTCTCCAGCACCGGGGGGAGAAGCCCCCGGGAGGGGCGTGTGGTGAGGATCCAGGCGGCATCCAGATTGGCCACCTGCACTGAGCAGGACATGCCAATGCACGCCTGATACATGTTTTACCACATACCAACATACTACATATAAAATGTGCGCTAAAATTTTGAAGGATGACACAAGTTTATACAGGAGCTCTATCTTCTCTGTGTACTCCCAAGCATCATCTGGTGCACCCCAAGGCTGCACCCCCCCACTTTGACGACAGCTGCTCCGGAGGCTTTCCCTGGAACTTGGGGCTGGCCTAGACTGAGCTTCCTGCTCCCTGGCCTCACTGCGGCCTGGCCTCCCCAACCCACAGCTCTGCTCTCATTGCGGTTTTGCTGTCCTAGTGGAGGAGGACTTGCGTGGGGCCTCTGGGTGCCCAGCTCCTCTTTTGCTGCGATGCTTTCTTTGAAGGAAACACGTGCACGATCTTCAGGGATGTAACACGTAGCGTAGATTACTTGTCACACACCCTCGCCCCCAGCTCATGGTCCCCTGGGATGTGATGTGTCATTATCTGCCAGCCCGGGAGAAAGTTTTAGAAGGCTCATCCTTCAAGGAAGAGAATGGAGGCAGGAAGAGGGGGAGGGAGGAAGGGAGGGGAGGCCTTCCTGTTCAGTATGAGGGCCACGCTGCGCTGACCTCCAGTCGGTCAGAGGTTGGAAAGTCAGGCGGGGTGGAGACATTTCCTGACCCCCCGGTCTTCAGGCCCCTTGTCCACACATAAACCCCCTGGAGAAGGAGGGGGCCAGCTCTGTGTCCGGCCCATTGTGCCAGAACAGGGGCGGGAGCCTGGGGACGAGACGTGCGCACTGCCACCCCCTTGGACCTCCAGCCCACCCGCTGCTCTCCAGGACACAGTCCTTCAGTATTAATAGCGTTTCTCTGCGGGCACAAACATGAATGGAATTTCAGCCTCCACCCCCCCAGACTCCTCTCTGGTACCAAAGTGCCCATTGTTGCCTCGCACCCGCCACCCCACCGGGGCATTCAGATATCGTCACCATGCAAATGTTTCTTGGCCTTGTGTGGAAAGCAGCCAGATAAGTAACCCCCACCCCCAACCCATGCTGCTGGCCTCTGATGACAGCGTACTGTGACCCCAGAGCCCGAGGTCCAACCTAGCCTCAGGTGAGAACCTGGGACTACTGGAGCATGGGTGAGGGGCAGCCAGCCCGCCTGGAGGGGGACTCGGTGCCCACCAAGGGCCACAGGGAGGGCATTATTTCAAACAGAAGAACGCCCCACTCCCCATCCCAGGTACAGGTCAGATGGATGGGGTGGAAGCCTGAATAACAACCCCCCCCACAAAGCTATCCTTGTCCCAGAACCTGCAAATATGTCCTCCCACGTGATAAAGGGGTTGCACAAACATGATAAAGTTAAGGGCCTTGGGGAGGTTGTCTGGATTACCCAGGGGAACCCACATAACCACAAGGATCCTTAAAAGAGGAAGGCAGGAGGGTAGGAGGCAGGACTGGATGAGACGGGAGCGGGAATTTGGGATGATGTCAGGAACGGAAGGTAGAGGCTGGAAAAGAAGGAAACAGATTCTCCCCCGGAGCCTCCGGAAGGAAACACCCCTGCCTCACCTGGACTTTAGCCCAGTGAGACTGATTTGGGGAATTCCGACCTCCAGAGCTGTAAGAGAATAAATGTGTGCTGCTTCAAGCAATAAAGTCTGGGAATTTGTTATAGCAGCCACAGGAGACTGACACAGACAGTTCAGATAAAGAACTACCGCAGACACCGGACTGGGCACGTGGGGTCAGGGGCGTTCTGCAGTGCAGCTCCCATGCCCAGCCCTGCACAGGTTGGGGATTAGAAACCTAAGCAGATGTGCCCCTGACTGGCGTATTTTCAAGGGTCCCTCCCGCCCCGTTGAATGAAAGGAGCTCCAGCAACTTCCTTTCTCTTTGGTGGCCCTCAGCATTCAGGACCTCTGAGCTCTGGGACTTCAGAAAAGAAGGGATGAGCCCTGGCTGGTGTGGCTCAGTGGATTGAGTGCCAGACTATGAACCAAAGGGCCATGGGTTCAATTCCCAGGCAGGGCACATGCCTGGGTTGCAGGCCAGGTCCCAGGTAGGGGGCACGCTAGAGGCAACCACACATTGATGTTTCTCTCCCTCTCTTTCTACCTCCCTTCCCGTCTCTCTAAAAATAAACAAAATCTTTTTTTAAAAAGAGAAGAGACAAGGGCAGTGGTCAGCCCTCATCAAGCACTAGGCTCCGTTTGGGACCTGCACGGCTCCCAGTGCGCTCCGTGCTGTCCCAGCTGTCCCCTGCCAGGCTCCTCAGTTCCAGGGTGGCCAGTCCAGTGGGAAGCCTTGTCGGTCCCTGCGCCTGCCCCGCACCTACCTGCCCCTCTCTGGTGACCAGAGATGCGGTGTCACAGAGCCTGGGCCACCTTCCCATCTGCAGTTCTCAGGGACTAAGCCACACTCCCACCCAAAGCAGCCACCTTCCTACCTCCGTTCCCCACTGGCTGGGCCTTTGCGAGCCCCCACCACTCCTCAGAAGGTGACGATGTTTACTGGGCTCTGATGTAGCCAGGGGTATTGTTAAGGCAACAAGAAGCACCTGCTGGGAGAGGATTCTCCACGTGTGCACCTCCTGGACACCCCCCCCCTTCCTGTCTGGATGCCCCTCCCTGCCTGCTCTACTCGCCGCCCCCAGTGTCCGAGGACTCAGCCTTGGCTCTCACTGCCCTTCACTGAGCAGGTCTCTTCTCTAGGAAGGCTGCAGGTAAGCCCTGCCAAGCTCTGGGTCTCCAGCACTGACCCCCACAAGCCCACCCAGCCCCTGCCGCCCTGAATCCAGAGGCCAACCCCATCCCCTTCCCCACTTTGGGCCCAGCCGTTGGCCAAAACCAGAAGTCTGTGAGGAGTCCAGCCAGGGGTCAGGCCGGCGAGAGGTGCCTGGGTTCAGGCTGCTGCTCTCCTTTCTACCCAGAACAACCTCCAGCTGGTACCACTCCGGGCACTAACTTCACCCAAATGGGCCCTGTGCCATCCCTTTCCCTTTGGACTCAGCCAGAGGCTAGCGTGGGTCAACCTCTTCTTTGTACTGCAGAGGGATTTCCAGGGCAAGGCCCTGTCTTCTTCTTAACCCTTCAGGTTGGGAGAACTACCTGTGCCCTCGCTCGGGGCTACTGGTGACTGGTGCCCTCATGCCATCTCAACGGTGGGTCTCAACCTTGGCCACTCATTGGAGTCATCAGGGATGGGGCAAGGGGGCGAGCTCTGAAAAAACAAGAAGCCCGAGCCCCACCCCCCACGCCCCCCAGAGATTTTGATGGGATCTGTCTTGGAGCTGACAGATCTAAGAGTTTTAAAGTCTCTCCAGGGGATGTTAAAATGAAGCTTAGAACAACTGATTCTGAACTTGGAGATTCTGAACTATGTTTTCAAGATAACAGGGTCTTCAAAGCAATCCTAGGATTGCAGGCCGAGCTCCGTGCTGCCTGGTGGCATTGAACAGCGGATTGGTGATCCTGGAGGCAGGGTGAGTCCCCTTCGCAACCTGTGGCCCTCAGCCTCTGTGCCCAGAAGGTGTCAACTGAAGGTCCTGAAAGCAGTGGGGGGAGGAGGTGGGGGAGGAAAGAGGGAAAGAGAGGAGACGGAAGAGGAGGACAAGCTGTCCCCAACAGTGCCGTGACTTTTGACAGGCTCTGACTTAACAGAGAGGGAATTTCACATGGAAATAGTAGAAGACATGTGCAGCCAAGAAGAGCCATTCCCTTTGGTTGAAGCCAAATTCAGAGGGCAGTTGGGGGGTTGGGGTGGGAGGGGAGAGGAACCGAGGGAAGCTCAGGGGAGCCGAGGCAGCGACCTTGAGAAGCCAGTGTCACAGCAGCCAATGGGGGAGCGAGGAGGGCTTCAGCAGGGAAGGCTTCTTGGGACTTAGGGCACAGGCGGAAGTCTCTTCCCTCTGCACTCGGCCTTTGCGAGCCCTTTTGGACCTGTCACTCGGTGTGCACAGTAGCCCCAGCTGCCAGCTGCTAATGCCCCAATCTTGGAGCGCAAGTTTAAGGTCAACCCAGGTCTGTCAGTCCCCCCATCTTGGAAAGGACAGAAGGAAGTCCTGCTCTTCAAGTAGTGTCTCAGTTTTAGGTTTGTGATGAGAAAATGCCATCCAGAATCCCTCTGGTCTCTTTGGGGAAGCCTCTCCCTAACTGTATAAAATTCCATAAAAATGTTAGATTATGGCAAAGAAGAGAAGTGAAACATTCTCTTCTTACTATCTAGACCCCGCCAACACCTCAGCTGATACCTAGTGTCGAGTCTCTGTCCCACCCCCTGAATCACAGAGGAGGGTGAGGGCTGCATTGTAACCAGACGGTGAGACTAGTAAGGAAGACAGGGGTGAGACACGCCCCAGCTCTGGAAAGACAGACAGATGTCATGGAGCCACAGGCAAAGCTTAGGGAATGGACCCCAAACACCAGGATGTCCAGACAGCCCTGCGGGATTTTCTTCAGCAGCTTCACCTCCCGGTGAAGTCTCTGCAGACCAGTCAAGGCACCACCCGCCCCTTCCTCTTCTGCAGGGGTCTTTGTTCTCTCCTGGAATGCTGGGGAGCTGCCCTCCCCCACTGTTACTCACCCCCCCACCCACAGCGGGGCCCCTGCAGCCCCGTCTGCACCAAGGTTCTAAGCCCTTCCTGCCGGCCACAGCTTGAAGGGCTCAGGGGTGGACTCCTGACCCAAGCCAGCCAACTGGATTCTCTCTCCTAGGAATCTGATACTGGGACCGAGAGGGGCTGGCTGCGACCTTTCAGGGTGCTGGCTCAGGAGGTGACGTGAGGAGAGGCTGAGGTAGCTACACTAGATTCCACATGTGGAAGAGGCTGTGAAGTCAGCCCGCTGCAACAGGGAAAGGAAGCCTGAGAAAGGGGCAGAGGGGAGGCAGGGGGAGAAAGAAAGGGTCCCTGCCAGCCCCTGCCTGGTTCACACTACCCCTACATGCTGACCCCACCACCCCCCTCCTCCCCTTGGTGGGGTGAGGGCTCCTCTAACTCCCACCTGGGAGCTCCAGCAGACACGGCCGCCTCTCTCTAACCATGTCCCTGAGCACCAGGTACATCCTAGAGGAAATACTCCCCGCCGGCCCTGCCAGCTGCGCCTTTCCGACCCTGCAGGGGACCCCGACCCCCTGGAGGAATAAAATTTGGAACTATCTGCCCTGCCATCCTCTGCCAGAGCCATCCTCTGATCAAAGCAGGGCAAGAGCCACCATGTCCCCCTACCCCCACCCCAGACACCCCGTCCAAGTGGCTGTTTTCAGCTCCAAAGAAATACAATGCAGGGAGTTTCTCCCACGTACATGAAATTTGAATGAACTCAGTGGGAGAGTGGCCTTCCCTTCCCCTAATATTTTATAAAGATTTCTAAGACTAGTTTTTTTTTCCTTGTAAAATATAACAAAATATTGTATGAGCATTTATAAGGTTTCTCCCAATCATGTATCAATGACTCTGGAATCTCCCCAGCCTTGTGAGACACTGGCTGTCACGTATCGTGTCTGCCTGGCTGGTGTCCTTGAGCAGGCTGCTTGCCACGCGTGGCTGAGTGTGGTCCCACCCCCTCTCACCCTCCCTCACGCCCTTCACTCGAGTTGGCTTGGCCAGGCTAGGCTCCCTGTGTTTCCCTCCAGCAAATGTTTGTTCTTGCCTTTTGTCCAAAGAGGGCTCCTTGCCCCTGACCTTCTTCCCTCTCCTCTCTCTGCCTCTCAGCCTCTTGGTCCCTTGGGTGCCAGCCCAGCTTCCCCCCTGCACACTGCCTTATCCCCACTCTGTCCTCCCAATGCCTTTACTGCCGACACTGCTCCTCCGGGCACTGGGCACAGTGTTTTCATGGCTTCGAGACTAGGGCCTGCCTTACCAGTGAGGACAGCCCCTGAGCTTCCAACGCCAGAAGGAGCTGCTTGGCGCAGCTTTCAAAGCCTTCCTTGAGCCAAAGATTACCCCAACTACCTACCTTCCTGGCCTCGTCTCCCCACCACCCGCCCCAAACTCAGTCACAGGCCTCATTCCTGGTTCTTTTAAGCCCCTACTCCCCACACAGCACCTGGCACAGAGCAGACACTCAACACATTTTTGTTGACTTGAAACCACAAATACTCATCAGGTTGAGTAAATACTGTTTTTTTCAAGGAATTGAGAGAGAGAAGGACCTACCTGTTGGGATCCTGTCAAGCTCTGCTAGGCCTTGGTTGAAGGCACCACCCCCCAAACCCCAAGGAACTCTCGATGAAGCTGTGAGGTATGAGAGGTGTCCCAACCCTCATGCAGCTAGGGCCCCACTGGAGAGCCCAGGGCCGCACAGAGCACAGCCTGGGCACATCGGGCCTGTCTAAGCTGCCGCGAGGGCAGCCCAGGGAGGTCTCCAGGAATAAACCTTTGTCAATCGGTGGATGGAGGGGGTTGGGTGGGGGTGGGCAAAGGAGGAAAAAGTGGGGACGACTGTAATAGCATAACCAATAGCATACAATTTAAAAAAATAAACAGATTGGGAATTAAAATTTATTGTTCAAATCAGGACACTCTTGAGGGTCAGCTGGAAATGATGCTGGGCCTTATGCTGGGCCTCGTCCAGACAGACAGGCTGGATGCTCACTCTGGGCACCTGCTAGGTCCTGTGTTCAGATTCTCCGAAGAGTGTAACTTAGGGCCAAGGTGGCTCTATTTTAAAAGCCGATTGTGTTGTCGAAGAAGAGGCTGTGCTGTCGCCCCATTTTGGCTATGGACCTGGGCTGCCTGGGGAACTGTGCTGAGGCTGCATACGCTCCTGGGCCCGGGGTTTTCTGAAAACAGAACAGAAAGTGGGAACTGATGAGAGTGTGCCGCCAAAGCCCTGGAGCCTCCTGGGCCTGGCCGGCAAATCCCCAGGGAGAGGGACGAGGGCCGCACAGGTGTGGGCGGAGGCCCGTGTCCTTGCAGCCCAGAGCGGTCCGTCAGCTGCTCTCCCCAAGGCTGCAGAGCTGCCGAGAGACAGTGGACAACCAGTGATGGCCTGGACCCGAGGGCGAGGTGCCTCACCTGCCACCTGCCACCTGCCCCACAAAGCACACTATCTCCCACAGGCAAGTTGTCCCTGGGAATGCCATCGTCACCCCTCAGTCTAGGAGTAAGGGATTGGAGAGAATGGATTCCCAGCCTGAGAGGCTGACCTCGAAAGCCCAAACTCGTGTGTGAGTTCTAGCGCTGACCCAGCATGAGCGGCAGGGTACTTCCCTGCCCTTGTCTGTGGACCACGGGGTCAGGCGTATTTGCAAGGAGTCCATGCATTCCACTTTTTGAAAGTCATCCTTTCATTTTGATGAAATTCTTTAAAAAATGATTGCACCAATTATTTAAACAAAGCTTCTCTTCTGCAGTGATAAAATGCAAATGACTGTCATTTTCATAGACTAAGACTTGGACGTCTTAAGGTTAGGGTTTTCCATGCTGGGACACACACACATATTCTCGAAATCCAAAGGGACTTTTTCTTGGGTTGCTGGAGAGACCCCAGGGTCTCTGTGTGTGGTTAAGGGGAGTATTCTATTGTCAGAAAGACCTGGCTTCAGGTCCTAGTCTCGGCTCCAATGGCTCGGTGTGACCTTGGGCCATGGGCTGCCCATGCCTCTGCCAACAAACAAGGCTCTGAGGCTCACGGGAAGCCCTCCGGGAGAGAGCGCACTGCAGGCCAGGCGCTCCACCGCTAGCTACCACTGCTAGTATTATCCCTGTTACCACCTTCTTGTCATTTCCTTCCTTCCTTGCAGCTTGTTATCTCTTCAGGAGACAGTGAGAGTGGAAACTGGATTACCCTGAGAGTGGGGTGGACAGTCAGCCCAGCATGGATGAGGTCAGCTGCCTGCAGAAGCTGCTTTAAATGACAGGATGTCTTCCTTGCCAAAAGCAGAGCAGCAGCCTGGAATCTCATCAAGTCCTGGCCAGATGTCAAAAAAGCTGAAGCCTTTATTATGCTATTAATGAGCAAGCAGCCTGTGTGAGGAGTCCTGGAAGGCCAACCCACAGATAGGTTTGTGGGCCTGCCCCCCCAATCCCCACAAGAACCACCCCTCAGGAGGCTGCCAGTTATGGTTCTCAGCCCTTGAGAACATCTGGCTCCATTCCCCAGCCCTGATTTCACTGTCACCAAGCAAACTTCTGGTTGTCCTTGGCTTCCGTGAAGAGTTTCCTGTAAGGGGAGACACTCCACAGTGCAGCAGCCCTGAATGCCAGCGACCCCCTTATGCACACTTGAAGATGAATGCCTCCCCTTCTAGCTTCTAGATCAGTTTCCTGGGCATTTGGTTAGCATGACTCCAACCTCCTGAGGACGCCCAGCCCTGTGAGCTCTGACAAACTCCCGTGTCCGGATCATGGTGATGCCACTAGGGTATGAGGACCAGATTGAGGGGTTCACCAGCCTCCTGTTGTTGGTCTGTTTTTAACTTTACTGGCAGGGAGTCCCCAGTATTCACACCTCCAGATAAAGACCATATTACCCGACACCACAACTGGCAGCTCCGGAACAAAATCCTGAAGGCGAGGGCCTGGGCCACCACAGGTGAGGCTGGGGAGGGGTCCTGCTGCCCAGACAGCAGCAGCACCAGCCCTCTCCTACCCACTGCCCAGCTCCGCCCCCCTCCTCCATCCCCCAGGGTGGGCCTGTTTCCTTATAGGCAGAATTCGTATTTCTGTCTCCCAACCATCTCAAACAAGGCTACATACCAGCGAGTTTGAGGAACTTTCAGACTGGGGTGCAGGCTAGAAACACCAAGGTTATGGAATTAAAACTGTCTTTTAACATTTAAAAAAAAGCCACTGTTCATAAACTCCATGTTATGCTTTTGAGATCTTCCCTAAGCCTTTGAGGCTCTCACACACTCCCAGATTCTCCCTTCTCTATGTATCTCCAAGGACCTGGGACTTCTCCCTGTCTGTCCCGAGTCTTTAAAGGCAGGACAATCGCTTATGCCTTAATGGCCTCCTTTAGTTCAATAATGATGTTTCTGCCCTCACTTTTCGCTCTCAGGAGCCACACGCACAAAGAAAGGCAGCTCTGGGTGGCTGGGGACAGCCACTGTCCACGGCTTGCCTCATTCATCAAAGGCGTTTCCCTACAAGGCATCCAGGTCACAGCACGGATGGCTGATTGCTGTGCTGGCCGTTCTCACCTGGACTCATAATTCAGCTGCAGCCTTCAGGAGTCACTCTGTGCCCAAACCTGGCTGAAGGGCTTGCCAGGTGTTGGAGCTCTATACCCTTTGCTGCCTTGACAAGCACTTACATATATACTAGAATTGTACATGATACCCCCACCCCATGTCCACTGCCCACTGCCCCTAATACGCAGCCATAAAACCTACAGCCATCATCTGTCATTTCGAATACTTACTGAACAGGAGGGCAAGAATCGAGGTACTTTGGATTGAAAACAAGAAGTAACAGCACTTGCTGAAGGAATGTTCAAGTTGTAATGCCCTGGTCCTGGACCTTCGTGCTAAAATTTAAAAAAAAGAAGAAGAAGAAGAAAAGTGTTTCATAATTACTAATATTTGATATATTTTAATGCCTTATTTGCCTTCTACATATAAACACGAATCAGTGTGACACTGTAAAAAGCTAGATTTGGGCTCGGAAGATCTCATCAGTGTGTGCCCCAGCACAAGTCACGGGGAAATGGGAAAAATACTTGCTTTATCTACTTTACCTGCCTGGTGGATGGCGGGGAGACTAAAGGTGAAGTGGCTGTGAAGGCCTCCCCCTGTCCCTGCCTGGGCCCCTCCCCACACCGGCAGGCCTCACTCCCTACTCGCCCCTCTGACTGTTGGTAGTGACTCGCTGCTTCAAGCTGCTAGCTTATAACACACACTTACTCTTCCATATCATACCTAAGTCCAAACAAGTGCTCACAGCAATTCATTGCCATAGGTACGATGCTATGAGATTAATATAAATGGGTGAAGACAATTTTAAGAAGACAAACATCCCAACAGAAAAATTTGCAAAAGGCAATTCCCAAAGAGGAAATACAATTGTTCAAAGAAGAAATGATTGGGTGGCTTTAATCTTATTAATAACCAAATAAGATCTCATTAAAACAACAATGAGATTCTTTTTAGTGGGGAGGGGGAGATCTAGAAAATTAGCGAAGGTTAAAAAAAAAAAGGAAGGGAGGGAGAGAGAGATTGAGAGAGAGAGGGAGAGAGGGAGGAAGGAGCCCTGACCCGTGTGGCTCAGAAAGTTGGGCATCATCCCGCAAAGTGAAAGGTCATCGGTTCAATCCCCGGTAGGGGCACATGCCTGGGTTGTGGGTTTGGTCCCCTGCTGAGGTGTGTTCGGGAGGCAACTGATCCATGTTTCTCTCTCATGTGGATGTTTCTCTCCCTCTCTTTCTCCTTCCCTTCCCCCTCTCTAAAAAATAAATAAAATCTATTTTTTAAAAAAAGGTAAAACAAAAACTTTAACCACCAGCACAGACACTCTTACTGTTTTCGATAAAAGTATAAATTTGATTAGCTTTTCTGAAGCATAACGTGACAGACTATGAAGTAGCTTAAAAACATGAACACCTACCCGAACGCAGAGAAAGTGAAAGAGACCGTTACAAGACTGCTACAGAAACCCAGAAGAAAAATGAGACCTGGGCCCGGGCGGCAGGAAGAATGGAAGCAGCCATAACACCACAGGAGACAACGGGACGAGGCGTTAGCCTTTTATTTCATTTTCTAGTCATTCACTTTTTTCCCTTCCCATTTTCAAATACTGGTGCTATTTGACAAAAATGAGTCTTTCTGGCATGGTCTTGAATCTGTTTCTAAATGGCGCAGCCACTAGGGGAAGCGGGCGGAGGAGGCAGAGGTGTGCCAGAAGCGGATCGCTGTTGAATGGGCACTTGGGGTCTGATATAGCATTTTGTCCATGTGGTGTATATTTTTTAAGTTTTTATAATACAAAGTTAAAGAACATATATTTATTATTTTGACCTAGCAATGCCACTTTTAGGAATTCATCCTGAAAAAACAACTGAGAATGTGGGCAAGTATTTGCTATAAAGACATTCACTAGAACATCATTTCCAAGAATTAAAAATGAGAAACAAACTAATCCTGTGTGCCTGGTTACATAAATTACAACTATTTCATCTAGTGTTGACGAATTTTTATGGACATAAAAACTATTCCCAAATATTCTTAAGTGAAAAATAGAAGCTTAAAAAATGTGCTTTAAAAAACTGGGAAAGGAATGTTTACTAACAGTTTTCTTCGGGTAGTAGCATGTTGAGTAAAAAGAAACATTTTTACCTGCCAGAATGACCACCATCAATAAACCAACAAACAACAAGTGCTGGCAAGGATGTGGAGAAAAGGAAACCCTATTGCACTGTGGGTGGGAATTCAGAATGGTGCAGCCACTGTGGAAAACAGTATGGAATTTCCTCAAAAAGTTAAAAATGGAACTGTCTTTTGTCTCAGGGACTCCACTTCTGAGACTATGCCCTAGGAGTCCTAAAACACCAACCAGAAAGCATACATGCACCCTAGTGTTCACAGCAGTGTTACAATCACCATGATACACAAACAGCCCGAGTGCCCATCAACACAACAGTGGACACAAAAGCTGTGGTACAGTTACACAATGGAACACTATGCAGCTGTAACTCTTAGGAGGAACTCTTACCCTTTGCAACAGCATGGACGGACCTGGAGATTATCATGCTAAACTAAATAAACCAGTTAGAGAAAGGCAAATACCATATAATTTCACTTATATGTGGAATCTAGTGAACAAAATCAGCTGACAAATGAAATAGAACCAGAGGTATGGATACCTGGAACAGGCTGACAGATCTCAGAGGAGAGCGGAAGTGGAGGGGACTGGATGAAAGAAGGTAAAGGGATTAGCTAGAGAACACAGGCGCATAATCCATGACTCAGAGGACAGTGAGGGAAGTCCAGGGGAGGGGAGGGCTGAAGCTGGGTGGAGGCGGACAAACCAGGGGGCAGGGGTGGATGGGGGACATCTGTAACAGTATCAACAATGAAAAGAAAATAAATGTCTCCATCATTTAAAAAAGAGAAGAAACTTTTTTTGCTTATCAGCACTTTTTAATTTTTCTACACTGGACTTGATTGCTCTTAAAATAATAAAAACAATTATACCTAATGTGTAGATGACTGAATACGGAAAAGGGGTAAAAGAGAAAAGGAGGCAGGAAAACAAGACAAAATTAAGAGAAAGTTAGAACAGAAAAATGTGTCCCGTGAGATCTTCGGCCACAAATTAGCCAAAGGATGTGGCGGATTTGGCGGGACAAGCACCCAGCTGCAGGCCCTCCGCAGGAGTCAGGGGCGGGGCTTCCCGTTCGTTCTTTCCTGTGAGCGGCACAGCAGTGTAATTAGGCTCCGTTCTCAATTACTCCGCCAAGAATGGAGTCTGTTATTAACAGCCAAGCACAAGTCTGATAATCAAGGGATGGATGTGCCTCATAATTTTACAACCCGTGGCAGAGAGATAAAAACAGTAATGTTTTCAAACCACTGCATACGCGGGACGGAGACTGTTTTCATATGGAATGACCTCTGCGCTCCCACTGGAGAAGCCGGAGCCACCACGAAAAGAAAGGCACAGAGAGCCGAGGGGTCCGGGACAGGAGCAGTCTGCGCAACGTCCCCTTGGTTTGGACGTAATAAGCACAGTACTCTCAAGCCAGGGTGGTAGATGGGACAAAAGATGCTGCCGTGTGTAGCACCATTGACTCCATGCCTATGACAGCCCAGCTGTCTGCAGGGTGGCCAAGTAACGCCACCATTTGCACCCTTTCTCCCCAAGCCCCACGTGGCTTTCATTCCTAAACTCCCAACTTGTGAGCTCCTAGGGAGTGCAGATGCTGGGCCCAGCGAAGCATGGACGTCTGTGCCATCCAGCAGCCTCCCTGCGTGGTCTTGGTCACCTGAGGCAAAAGGACTAAGATCTGGCCCTGGCTGGGTGACTCAGTTAGTTAGGCCATCGTGGTGTGCACCAAAAAGTTTGCTGGTTCCATCCCCAGTTGGGATGCATATGGGAGGTAGCCAGTTGATGTTTCTCTCTCCCTCCCTCCCTCCCTTTCTCTCTAAAAATCAATAAAAACATATCCTCGGGAGAGGATTTTTAAAAATGATTAAGACTTAGGGCAGAAAGAGATGACTGAATGCTATTTGCCCCCCATGTGTCAGATGAAATCTTTTAAGTGGAATGTTAGGAAAGTGGATACAGGCCCAAGTCCACATTCCAGAAGCCACGGGGATGCTGTTCTAACTGAAAAGTAATGATCGGGCCAGGGTCCCACCATGGGTGAGAAACAGCTCTAGCAGAGTCCTGGCTCCTGTCCCATCCAAGGACACGTGAGTGGGCAATTCTGGACACAGAGACACATGCACAGGGAACACACCACGTGAAGATGAAGTCAGCGATCCTGGCAAAGATTGCCAGCAAACCACTGGAAGCTCCGAGAGAGGAAAGGAGTGAAGAAACCAACACAACTGGCACCTTGATCTTGGACTTCTGGACTCCAGAACTGTGAGATAATACTCCTATATTTCTGTTGTTTAAGCCACTTGGTTTGTAGTGCTTTGTTACAGAAGCTCTAGCAAATGGATGCACAAGTGTTCGGCTCATTTCTTTAACTAATACCGTACAATGTGCCGCACAGTTGCTGGGAGTTGGGAATGCAGCAGTACATAATGGTTTCCCAGTCTCCTTTCTTTTATTCCTTGGTATTAGAACAATTTTTAACTGGGCACATGTCTATCCAGAATAAAAACTAAGTTTCCTAGCCTCCTTTGCAGGTGGGTGTGGCCACGTGGCTAATTTCTGGCCAATAGGATGGAGGTGGAAGAGGTGTGCACGCATTCCAAGGAGCCGCCTTAAGGAAAAGGCAGCTGTCCATCTTCCCCGCCCTCCTGCCTGCCAGCCTGTGCCCTGTTCTCAGCTCTCTGGGACCATGGGAATGGAAGCCATGCTTAGCGGAGCAGCACACCGAAATCCGATGCTGTGGAATTGCCACACCAGCCCTAAACTACCTACAGCAGGCACTTTGTACAAGAGAAACATATATTCCTACCTTGTTCATAAGTTATTTGGGGTCTTTGTTATTGGCAGCAGAACTCAGTCTTAATGGAAAAAGATACACATGTTTCCCACTCTCATGGGGCTTACATTCTAATAGGGAGTATATACTTCACCAAAAAATATACTGACAATATGGAGTATCACACACAGGAACACATACGGTGCTATGGGAGAGCCTGTTAGAGGGTAAACTGACCTGATCAGAGGGGTCTGAGAAGTCCCTTTAAAAAGTCCATTTGAGCAGAGACCTAAAGAACAAGGAGGAGGAGGTGTCTGTGGGGAGAAAGGCTGGAGAAGAGTTTGTGTAGGGAGCAGTAATAGAAAGGTTGGGCCTTCAGGCAGGCCTAGGAGGAGGGTGCTATTCATTTTAACCCTGTAAGGACAAATGCA